ACGAAATTAATAGTATTGTAATAGTCATAAAATCAATATTAACATGATTGGGATCATCCGTATCACAAAAACTAGCATTACTGATAAAAGAAGCACACACATGAAAATAGCGAGACTTACCTTGCCCGTCCACCATGCAAATTACAAAGATCACTCCCAGCCACAGCATCTTCCTAAAAAGACGGAAAAAATTATTTATTTACAATTTCCACTTAGGTATGACGTTGCTAACTGCTAGCACATACACACACATACACATCTATGTGCACACGCACACACACACGCACGCACGTCTATATGCACACGCACACGCACATATATACACACGTACACACATGTACCATATTCATGTTGACAAATGTAGAAAAAGTTATGAATAAGAATGAATATCTTCACAGTACAAGAGATGTCTTTAACCAGTTTCGATTATATCTTCGTCAGAAATACATATCTGTCTGTCCGTCCATCTCTCTCTCTCTCTCCGCGAGCGTGTGTGTGTGTGTGTGTGAGTGAGTGAGTACCAGGGTGTGTGCGTGTTTTGAAACGGTTCCCGTCGCCCTCTCCCTCCTCCCTCCCTCCTCCGTCTCTCCTCCCACCACATCCCAGACACCCGGCGATAACTGGCGTAAAGTTTTTTTTTTATGCGCATGAAAAAAATCTTAAATAGAAAAGAATCATTAGTTCATAACCAAGCATTCGCACAAAACATATCTTGCCCCACCTGGTAGAGTAAACAAGTGTCATGGTGATACGTGTTAACCCATTCGCGCCGGGTGTCACGTATACGTGACAGCCCCATTGTGAGTTTACTTGTTTAATTGTTTTAACACATAGATGGCTACACTTGTACATATACGACCTGTGTCGTCTGTTACCCCTTTCTTTAATTTACGAAAATATTTTACGTTATCTTATTTTGCTATTACTAATGTTCATAACATTATAGTAATTATAATGTTTATAATAAAAATAACCATCGATATTCATAGCACTAGTAAAAAATGCATTTTCCCGCCAAATGAAATCAGGTAAGACAGAGCCATCTAGTGTAGAGAAATTTCACAAAAAGTATAAAAAATGAGCACAGCATTTTTTCCCATTTTTACCCGGCGTGAATGAGTTAAACTGAAATAAAATGAGAAGGTCCTCCGTCCAACCCTGACACCGAGAGTAATCGTTTGGCAATCGATTACTGGAAATTATAATTGATTACTGAGGAATTTCATGATGTAATCGATGTAACTGATTAAAACACTAATGGGCACCATTTTGCATTTTTTCCCCGCTAGTATCTTTACGTATCTTTTAAATGTGTTTAACCTATAATAATCTCATCATGCGTTTATAATGAGATATAAACATAAATAAAACAGAGGCTCTTTCACTATCGCAGAAAGATGTTTAAAAGAGTACATACCGATTGCTGCCTTCTGAAAACAATGCGCGGAGGACTCGGAGGCGAACAATGTGCCCTTGACAACGACCGGATTCGGTGTGTCGTCCAGCTAAGAGAGTAAGGCAGCTTTGTTGAGATGCCAGAGGTAGTGGTTTGGAGATTCCAGAGTATTGCGATATTTTCATCTTTTATCTTTTCCAGGAGGGAATCTTAAATTACAAACAGTAGTGATTTTAGCCTTTCGGCTATGTTTTAGCTCCCTCAGAACAATTATTGTAGCGATATTTACGATATAAGTTATGAGAAGGATGTGAATTCCCCAAGCGATTACAGGTACGGGAAATCCAAGCCATGTTTTGTTTTCCGGGAAAGCGACGTTGGTGTTAGTATAAGATCGTTGCCTGTGTGTATTCATTATCTAAAAAAGAAAGAAGAAGAAGAAAAAAAAAATGGAAGGGCTGAGAAGGTAAAATTGCCTTCATTTTAATAAGTATGAATATCGCTATTTTGGATGATTGCCATGCCATGATCAGCTGTAGCTCTTTCAGGTGTGATCTGTTACACCGAAAAATGCTGAAATTCGGAAACTATTAAGGAAATAAATGTTCCTTTAAGTCGAAATGTTGTTGCTCCCCCACCTAAAAAATATCAACAGCAAAAAACACCCATACAAACACATAATTCAAAACCGAAAAATACGCTACAAAAAAACAATCATCAAGTGCGTTTTTTTCTCTTTCATAATCATGTCACTGGAGAATATATGTCCTTTTGGTCTCCTGTCACTCATCAAAAGGTGAAAGTGATTCGCTTTGAAATCACTCTACTGTAATGTACTGTGAACGCGATGGTGTTTCTTGTCCTCATTTAAGAACTCACGATTTAGTTAATAACCGTGTTCTTTGTGATAAATGTAGAGAAGGTGTGAATGAGACCGAATATCTTCACAATACGTGAGGTGTATTTAGCATATCTGCATTTCTGACGGAGATATATTCGGAAACGGTTAATTACATCTCTTGTGTTGTGAAGATATTTGTTCTCATTCATACTTTTTTCACGATTTTGTGGTATTATTTCATCTTCGTACATAATTTAGCAGGA